GTGTAAGGATGAATGTTATTTACTGTGTCCATGATTTTGTCCATTTCTTGTAAGCTTTAAAAAAAGTGTTATAGAACATTATTCATACTAAAATGCTTATAAACTTGTAAACTGAAATTCTTCTAAACCAGGTCCATCTCTTCTCTCAACTACTGAAAACAGTCAGTACTGGTTGTATTCAGTTCATCATGGCTTAGGAGATTAAGAGAAGCCAAAAGGCAATATAAACTAAAGAACTTTAAAAGTAGTGTTCCTCCCATCTTCCCAAGAGTTGACTAGAACTTATTGGGCCAGATTTTGAAGTAGCTAGCAGGTAACAAGTAGAGGAGATAGAAAAGAATGATTATAAAATAAGAATGGAATTCTTCTCAAGGATTATGTTTAAAAATTCCCAAATTTAAATTAAGAAAATCCCACTTAAGATTATCAGTATGTAATTTGCATAGAAAATAGGATTTATATAGTTACTGATTAATTTTATACGTATAGTTTATATCATTAAAAAAACGAATAACTGAAAATTATGCATTCAGTTTGTTAGTGACTAATTTGTTTTATGAAAGATGAATAATTTAAAGCATTTTTGTAATTTGAATAATTAAATGCTTATTTGAAACATTAACTTACTAATGAAGAAATTGAGACTTAAATTTAAAAACAACCAAATTAGTTGAGTTAATCTACTGTAACTGTTTGATTACAGATGTTTTCCCACACTGATGGGCAGCTAACTGAGGTAGTGCTATTCAGTACAGTCAACTCTCGATTATCTGTAGTAATGGGAAACAACAATGCATGGATAATCCTAAAACACTTTATACAGCACCTTCCTGTCATCCGTTGTGGCCTGAGCATGTGCTTGGGTCCATGATGGAGAAGTGAAGTAGGGCTTAGACTTGCAAAGGAGCTGGGAGTCAGTATGATTATCTCAAGGTGATAAAAATGTCCTAGAGAAGCCTGTGTTTGGCACTTGTGTGATCAAAGTGTCATGGGGGAGGCCTGCAACATGCAAGACCAGCTTGGCAATAGCAGAAGGATAGAGAAACAAATTAATAAGGATCTATTAATAACAATAAACATTTAAGTCCTGCACAATTGGTGTGTTTTTTTTGGTTAATAGTTAGAAAACAATAATAGTATTAATAGCAGTGTACTTGCATTAGTTTTGGTCTTTTTTGCTAGCTAAACATTTTTTACTTGCCACAGGTAAGTGATATCATTGAGCCTCTTCCAAATGAGAGTAAGTTTATTGTCATAAAACTACAAGCATACCTCAGATTACAGTTTTGGTTCTAGACCACTTCAGTAAAGCAAGTTGTCATCTTTTTGTTGGTAGAAGGTCTTGTCTTCCATTTGTAAAACAAAACAAAACAGAACAAAAACACAAAAAAAGAAATACCTGTGAACCACAGTAAAGGTAAGTGCAAGAAACCATGGTATGCCTGTAAACTTTAGAAAACCAGGATAGGTTTGAAATAGTTTTCTTACTATTAAAATTCTTCCTAAATATCAGTGTTGAGTTTATACTCCCAAAATTTAACTTAATGAATTTTAGCATTGTAATGTCAAAGAATATTATGAAGGCAAAGGCAATGGTGATTACTGAAAGATATGAATTTGATTTAGGGAAAACATAGCCATTTTTTAAATTTAAAAATACTTTATAGAAGCTTTACAAAAGTTCTTTTAAAACTGACAATTGGCTGGCTATGAGTTCATGAATGTTAAAGCTGGATTTTAGGTATATGGGTGGGGTGTTCATTATGTTATTCTACTTGATTATGCGTTCCACAAGAGAAAGCTTTGAAAAACTTGAAGTTAGGTGATTGCCAAAACTTCTGCACCAAACTTTCTCCTCCTTTTTTATGGATTAGATTTATTGTTCTTCATTAAGTTATTAATCAGACTCTAAATTATACCATAGCTGTGTTGAAGGTTTATTTGAAGGTATATTTAATTCAGGAACTTGTCGAAGGTATATTTGATTCAGGAACTCCATAGTTCAACGCAGCATGGTAGTGGGATAGCAAGAATACAAATTATATTCTTTGATTTTCTTAACCACATATTATTTTTATTACTGTAGATGTTTTTAAAAAATTAATGAAACCAAATATCTATACTTAGGCAGTCAGTAGAGGCATTAATCTTGAGTCAGCGCTTGTAAAAAGTTTGGAAAAAATTGATATTTGAGAGTGAATAATGGGAGTAGTGAATTAGTCTTTCTTCTAGGTCATTGATTCTCAATTGGGACAGTTTTACCCCCAAGGAGACATTTGGCAATGTCAGGCATTTTTAGTTGTTACAACTTGGGTTTGGGGAATGCTATAGGTATCTACTGGGATGCTTCTCCACATCCTGCAGTGCTCAGGACAGCCCCTGACAACAAAGAATTATCTGACCCAAAATGTCAGTCATGTCACAGATGAGAAATCATGCTTTAATTTTTCTAAGATGTAGTCATTCTTATAGACAGCTAGAAACGTTATATTATATAGCCAAACTAAATTATTTTGACTTTCCATGGACGTAGGCTGTTAAGAATTATATTTTAAAATATGCCTTCTGTTTCCACTGAGAATTAATGTAAGAAACAGCAAAGAACATTTTGTTCTCAATTTCTTAAACTAATTCCTTTTAGAGTTTAGTGTTGAGAAAATTGTCACTTTTCTAATGAAGGGGTGGGTGCATTCCTTGTAACTCATTATGTTTCTACTTTGCCTTCTCTTCCAGGAAGCTAAGAGCCCAATTTTATGCCTGTTAATAGCAACTATTCCTTATTTAGGCTTACAGTTCTGTGATCTTTTCCTCTGCTATATTGGTCTTCTTTTTGTTCTTATTGTAATGGTTTATGAATTTGAGCTGTGTGTTTGTGTGTATATAAAGAGAACATATAATTGTGTAAATAAGCATGTAAGTGCCCCCATTCCTAGGTTTGATCAAATGTTTTAATGCTTTTATTAAGTTTCAGTTTTTTCAAGTGATTTAAAAATGTATTCTTATTATAAAATATAACTGTGTATTAGTGTAAATAAGTGGAAGGTTGCTCCCTCCTTTTCATTCTCCAGAGATTTATTAATATTTCTAGCATGAAAATTTGAAATTGAAGTTCCAATTTGCCATAAGCTTAAGAATTTTATTACAGTTTTTTGGGTTTGCATTCTTATGGTTTTATTTCTAAATAAGATAATTACATTTCTAAAAATTGAGCAGAGTAGAAACAATGTCTCAAGAGGATTATATTGTCTGATGAATTTTCTTTTATTGATATTGACAGATATTGAATTATATAAGAAAAGTACATATTCGGTTTGTTTATTTTGAAGCATATTGGATAATTATGAAATCTTCCTAGCCCATATTTCTAATGATTCAGGGTGACTCATTAAAAATTATTCAGAATGAAATTAATTTCCATTTCTCTGAAGTCAAAAATAAGTAAACTCCAATATCATCACTAATATGCAAACGTCTTTTTTGTTACAGCTCTCAAATTGTTGAAGAGAAAGCAGATTTCATAGTTTACTTAACATGCACAGAAAAAGCTTGTCTTTAAAATACTTGATACAATAAGGTTAACACCTCAGCCAGTCTTTGATTTGATGCTTTATTTAGATGTTTATTAGTTCTGAAGCTTATAGATTTTTTTGTTTTTAGAATCTCTTGGTCGAAATAGACTTTGAATTCGTTTCAAGTTTCTTTCATACTTTAGGTAGTTTAGAAAGATAAATCATAAACTTTTAGATTTATTAAAGTGGCATTAATAATATCATGATGGTTATCATTTCTTTCCATTTCTGTATTACTACCTGGTTCTTTTAGAAAGGGGAAGTGGAAGTAGGACTGGGAGGAAATTAGCAAATGTGTCTATTACTTGCCGCTTGAGTCAGGAAGGGTAGTAAGAGATGTGAACAATTTTAGTGAAGTATTTTTCAATCTTTTTGACCACAACCCACAGTAAAAAATACATTTTATATTGCATCCAGTACACAATTTATATACATAACAAATGTTTCGAGAAACAGTAATTACCTTCCTACCTATATATGCAGACTGATGTTTCTGTTTTGTTTCATTTAAAATAACTGCTGCTCACATCTCACTAAACTGCAACCTGAAGTTTGAAAAATGCTGTTTTATCATATTAGTTGTCTGTATTTGTGAAGAAGTTCACCCTCTCTTAGCACATAAAAGACTGAGTAGAAACACATAGAACCTATGTGAACATTTAATAACAAATAAATAAGTGAAATATTTTACAAGCATTTTGTCATGATCAAATATAAACAGTTTTATCTAAGCAAACAAATTTTTTTGGTAAAAAATAACTCTTACATTGTATTTATATTTTAGGCCTCTCTTTTTTTTAATAAAAAAGTAAACACTAATAGAACTTATATTAATAGATTATTTTGAAATGTAACCAGATTAATCACTGAGGCTCTCTTAATTATCATATTGGGCTAAATCTTAATGGAGACGGGAAAAAATAGTATGCTTTAATCCAGGTGTTGGCAAACTTTCTGTAAAGGCCCAGCTAATAAATATTTTAGGCTTTGCAAGCCATAAGGTCTCTGTTAGAACTATTCATCTCAGGGATCGTAGTGTGAAACTGCTGTAAGCAGATAGAATGGCTGGCTTCCACTAAACTCTTATTTATGGAAACAAATTTTAATTTCACATAATTTTCACACACCATGACATTATTTTTCTCTTGACTTTTTGTAACCAATAAAAAATGTAAACACCACTCTTAGCTTTTGGTTTGTAAAAAACAGATGGTGGGCCATATTTGCTCTGCTGGCCATGGTTTGTTAACCTTTCTTCCTTGCTTTAGTGTAAAAATTGGAGAAAGTCAATATTGGTCCAAAAAGGAGAATACTTAGCAGTTGTGGTTAAGATACGACTAATGATGTTAAATCTCTGAGCATTTATATCTTGATTTTTCTGTATATTAGAGCTATACATTTTTGTATTGTGTTTATATTATATTTTTGCAGACTGTTGATATTCATAAAGAGAAAGTTGCAAGAAGAGAAATTGGTATTTTGACTACCAATAAAAATACTTCAAGGACACATAAGATTATTGCTCCAGCCAATCTTGAACGACCAGTTCGTTATATTAGAAAACCTATTGACTATACAATTCTAGATGATATTGGACATGGAGTAAAGGTAAGTATAATTTTTGTCAAGCTTTTTAAAACAATAGCCCATAATGGAACTAACTTTAGAAGATTAAGCTTTTATCTTTCCTTTCCTAGAGAACCAAATCTTGGCCCAGCTGTGAGTCTGAACATTCCTTACAACTTTAACTATTTTATCTTTCTTGCTTCTTCTTAGTGCTCTGTTCTCAAGTTTTAAATAATTATCTTTGAATGAATTGCATTTGCTTAATCATTTATGATAATACCTTAGCTAGATATGGTAAATAAGTGTGGTGTAATCTTTCTAATCTTTTAATGATTTAATATGACATTAAAAATTATTCAGTATGTTATTAAAGTATTTATCTCTTCTTAAAAATTTATCAGCAGACCTTTGGTATTAGTTTTCAGAAAGAACATAAAAAATATGTACTTTGAATTTTTCTAAAATAATTTTATCTTGTCGAGAATAGTTTAGATAAAAGTAGTATGTGATTTTTTATTTTCACTGTTTTTGAGTATATAGCCATTATATATTTTGGCTATCTTCTAAAATATATTTGGGTGCCACTGTGTATATAGAGTACTGTGATTAAAAACTTGAGCATATAAATTTTATTTAAATTGGTGTTTGTACTTAAACTATTCAGAGTTTCAGCTAAGTATTATTTAAAGTTTGAATCTATCTTATCAGTGATTAGACAATGACTTTTCAAATGTGACTTTTCAAACTATAAAGTGAAACTTTATAGTTTATGCAGTTAATTTATGAATATATAAACAAATTTAAATTTTAAAAATGCCCTACACTAGTATGGTTAGAAGTCAGATCTCAGTTTAATATAGATTTAGGTGAAAGGAAGTGTACAATGTAAATTTTAAAAAAATCTTTTTCTTCCTCAGAATATTGATAATAAACACTATTACCTGGAATTTGATATTTAATTTTATAATTGACACCTTCTTGCATTTAGATTACTATACTAATTAGAGATTGTTAAATAAGATGTGTAATTGGGTTGATAATAACTGAAATTTATTCTAACATAGGAAAATCTTTTGAGATTTATTCAAGACTAACGACTGCTATTAAAATTTTAGAAGCTGCCAGAATCTAATGACAAAAGCATTTAGAATACAAAACATCATATTTGTGCTTGCCCACATATATAATAAAAAGGTGATTCCCCCCACTCCAATTCTTATTTAATTCTCAAGTAAAATGTTATTCTTTTGGGACTCTGTAGTCCCTTTCATTGTTTGGACTTTTTGTATTTAAGGTCACTAATTTGAAGAAATTTTTAATAAAGTTTTTAAATAACATAGTATCATATAATTTCATCCAAAAAACTCTCGTTCATGACACATTCTGCTTTAACCACTCTTTCTATGATCTACTGAAACATTATTTTTTAATGCCGAATGCTTAACTTGTTTTTTCTTTGTTTTTTCCTTTCTCTTCACATCCTGAAGTTTCAACTAACCTTTCAATGCTTTTTTTCCTTACCTCTTTTATTTGCTCCATTTATGCATTAAGTGGTTGCTTAGATTTAAGGTAAGAGATTCCAGGGCTGGATTTCCATTCTTTATTCTTATGTAGAATATTACATATGGGGAGTGAGGAGATCTTTTGCACTTGGCCTTTTAAAACAAACAATTCTTTTTATTTATTTTTTATTTTTGTCATGCAACTTTGTGGTGTCATGTTTCATGAGGGCAGTTATTTTGTCTGTTTGGTCATTACCATTCAGTTATCTACTGTGCCTAGAATAGTGCCTGACTACATGTTAGATGCTTAGCAAATATTGAATAAATGGTTATTTTGCAGCGTTAACATATTTTGTGAAACTGAAATGTAAATTACCCTATCATAAAATGTTGTTATAAAATAAAATTAGCTGGATTTTATCAATGTAGAAATTTTGTTATGGATTACAGGGCCAACTAATGTGCTTCATTTAACCCTCCCCCTGTGTAATAGCCTTTTTATTCTATAAATGGTGTGCTTTATTATATTTCTTTATGTCATTATCTATTGACTCTCAATCAATGTAAAGAAATTCAGAAGAAGAAAATATTCAGTGTTAATGGTTTTTTTTAAGTTGCAGTATCATGTATTTTGTAAAAAAAAAAAAAAAACAAACCAAAACAGTCTTTTCTCAAATTGCTATTTAAAATGTTTCAATATGAAATCACTTTAAGAGATTTTCAAGCTGAGTATTAATTACATGCAAAACATCAAAAGCTCATAATAGTGTTTAACAAGATATGAGTTAAGAATTAGAGAAATAGTTCCTTTTGTTATTTGCTTTGGTAATATTTTTGTATTGTGGAGGGTTAATGGTAAAAGACATTCGAGTATATTCAAGAAGCTGGTCAAATAGAATGTTACTGAAATTATTTTTACCAAACTGAGCATGCATTTACTTTTTATTTTTATAGCTGAATTTTATGATTTCTTTTTAAATACATATTCTTTTTTTCTAATACCAAGTTGTTTGCTGTATCTTCAGTGTAGAAGGTGATAACAAGACAAGATGACTGAGATCTGAATCATTAACTAGCTACAAAGTATGGCCACAGAAATTTCAGTAGATCTTGGTAGAGAGATGTGACTAGAGGAGCCCAGGCAAATGTACTTGTGTAATTGATTAGATTATTGGCCCCAAACACTCAGTCTTAGTGAGGCACGTGGAATTGTGAGGAGATTCTTTTTTGCATAAAATAGGTAGAACTAGACCCAAAGCAGTGCATGGCCTACTTTGGCTCTTTTCCTCTGAAGTCTATATTCCAATTTTGGTCATTTATGTATTAACCTCCAAAGTGATAGAAGTATGCAGAAAGATTAATTGAAAGAAAAACACAGAAATGGACCAATTCTTTTTCCTTTAAGTTTAGACGAGCTTGCCTAAGCTGCGATCCCATGCTCAGTTACTTCAAACCCTACTGTGATTCCTTCTTGACCTTCCTGGGTTCATGATCTGTTCCATGTGGGAGATGGGCCAAAATGAACGAGCAATGAGAGACTCCTTGAAAGAAAAATCCAATAAGGAAATATCACACTTGGATGAGATTCCTTAACGTCTTTGCTCTTGGCACCAAACCACTCCACTCCTTGTGGAGCGCCAGTGTTCCATCTTCCCTGTCTTCTTCCTCTTTGTGAACGTGTCTGTCTTCTTTGTAAACTTGTGGCACATAGTTAATAATTTTGGGTGAACCAAAACAAAGTGAAGTGAAAAAATATTCATCATATAGCAAATCATTTCTCTTTTTATGTTGCTTAAAAAAATTAGTGGGTTCGGAAGGGTGATTAATGGAATAATTAAATATGTTAAGGCAAAAAATAGAATTAAAGACAAAATGTTAAAAGTTGGAAGAACTGCAAATAATAAGCTAGTTGGTTTTCCACCTGAGCTTTTTGGAGACCTTTGGTTTATATCAAGTGCCCTGAACCTCTCCTGATGTTTGATAGGCTTATCTGTTACTTCGATTTCCTCCTGAGCTCTTCTTGATCTCTGTCTTTGCTCCTGTTGCTGTCAGACTTTTGATGCCTTCAGACAGACTGTAAACAAAGTTCATACTTTGAGATCAGACACATGGGATTTGACTCAGAAGAGACTTCCATGCTTAAAAGATGAATTTTAAACATTTTATACATCATGTTCTGGTGGTATTGAATGGTTCTTTTCATCTGAAATTTGTTTTTGTTTTTTTTTTCAGTCAGTTGAACTGTAAATTCATAAGATTTTTCAAAACAATGTGCTACTTTTTACAACAAAAGTCATAAAAAACCAATAGGTAGAATGCCATATTGGAAGTGTTTTAATATGTATCTGAGGCCATATAAAAGTAGAATGAACCTTGAACTGGGGTACCCTTTCCCCATCCTCACTACTCCAAATCTAGACACAACCTGTACATACTACTCTACTTCTCTTTGTTTATTTAAATCCTGCTTTAAAAAAAAAAAAAAATTAGCTTAACAATCCAGCTCAGATTTTTCTCCATGAAACAGTAGCTATTCATTCTCACACCGATATTTCTTTTGGGAGAGGGAGACTTCTATATAATTTGTAGACATTCTTTTTTTGTTTGAAACATGTGAGTCTTCTTTATTCCAAAATATTATGTTTCTTAAAAAGCAGAGAAGCTATTTTATAGACCTTTGTGTCCCCTCAGTGTCCCTCTTATTTGCCATAGTCCTCTACCCTAGTACCAGTAGTCTGGTAGGTGGTTGATAAATAAGGGGTATACCACAGGTATCATTTTAGAATGTGTCTGCCACTGTTACATCATATCAGGTCATCTGTCAGTATTTGTATTCTACATAGGATATTCATTGTTTTACTTAACGTAGAAGCATTTTTCACAAAGGAAAGCTTCCTAAAATATTGAAAAATTCTTTTTGCTTAATATAAAGATAGTACAGTATCAGTAAAGTATAAATTACTGATTTTTTGGACATTCTACAGGACCTCTGGTTTCTTGATTTAGGTTACTCATCCAAACCCTAATCAAATACAATCATTTGATGATTCTACATGTCATAAATGTATCCAGTTTTATTTATAGAAATGTCCACCAGATTTTATAGATTGTTTATATTATTTTAGGAGGGGTAGATTAAAAAACTTGAAGAAGATACTGCAATTTAAACAAAAACACCTTACATACCAAAACCTTAAGTCAGAGTTGGAAAGTTTTCAAGTATTTTAGCTATTCCATTGTATAGAATAAAACTCTCTTTTATTCTTTTTCTTTCCCTGCTCCTTTTCCTTCCTGTTTATAGCAAATTGATGTAGTTTAGTGTTTGGTTCACCTACTTCTCCCCATCACTTAAAATAACTTTGGGTATTATGTTGTTTAAGGTTGAGCTTAAAGGACTTTGGTTACTACTTTAAAAAATCTTCCGGTATCATAAATTAAGACTTACAGTTTTAACAGCTATTGGTTATTTATCATATCACTCCTAAAATTTTTCCCAAATGTGGACTGATTTTTTTAAAAAACTTCTTCTGGCATTTTCATTTTATATATGATTAGTATACCCTCTGCTTATTAATGAGGGGGAGAGCAAGGATAAGTTAATCTTTATTCTTACATGATAACCAGCTTGTTTTATATTTATTGTTTAAAAGCAGCAAGAAAAGGATTACCAGTAATTGCTACACTTTAAAAATGTTGACATTTCAAAGGTATCATTTGTCATTAAAGATTGTTTTATCATCACACACAACTTGTTCACTGGGCTATTCTTTTGAAGAGTTTGTTTCTTGATATATTATTTCTTGCCTATTCAGAAAACAAGTAGTATTTTAGGATTTTAAAAAATTCCATTTTTAAGCCAGTTAATTTTATTTGTTTATTTATTTTTTCGTTATGGTGACATTGGTTAATGAAATCCAGTAAGTTTCAAGTGTATATAGTTCAGCAGCGAGGCATATATATATATTGCATTGTGTGTTCACCAACCAGTTAGATTTCTTTCTGTCACCACATATTTGACCCCCTTTACCCCATCCACCTCCCTCCTCCTTAAGCCAGTTAATTTTAATAGCCTTAATGCTCTGGACCTAATTATGATTTATTTTTTAAATTTATTTTTCAAAATTATAAATGTATTCTGATTTCAGTGATGTAATATCTTGAAGTTTCATTTTACAAGAGTAATTTGAATACACATATTCTTATTAGAAAAGTTAAGGTCCTATTTTGAAGTGTTTGGCAGTCCAAAATATTTGGGTTTTAAAATAGGGTCAGATATGAACCTTTGTATTGAATATTAACTCCAAACCATTGGTAATCTCACTTGGAGATTGCATTTGAGCTATATTTGTAAATGACTTCTCTTAGCTCTTTAAGATACCCAGATTTCTATGTCTTTCTGTATAATACTGACATACTCCTTTGCTGGCATCCTTGTTCCCATATTACCCAGCTTTCCTACATTTACATTTTCAGTATGGAATGGAATAGTGAGGAGTCATGGCCCAGCTCTGATTTAGGACTATATTACTTACATCTTTCCCATGACTGAATTAATCTTCATTTTGGGACTTGAGTGGGTCTGATTACCACAGGAACTAGGACATTGCCAGTGGTCCCTCTGTTGCTCACAGTTGAATGAGATATCTCAGCCCTACCTTTCTAGTTTAGATGTTTAGGAACATGCCTTAACTTCTGGCAGTTTTCAGGTAGGTGATTCCTTCATAAAAGAACATTAAATAAATCTGAATTGTAAGGCTGATCCACTATTTTAAAAAACTAAAAATTTCTGTTTATCTTGCAGTTTAACTTTATTTTATATTCTCTACTTAATGGATCAAAACTATAGTTGCATATTTTATTTGGGAAACACGTATTTAGTTTTTTTTTATGATATACTTGCTATTTAAAAAGAAAATTCCTTAAGGGTCTCATCATTTCTGATTGAGTTTATCAAATCAAATCTATTTATCAAATCTTAAGTTTTTATAGTTATTTAATTTCAGTTGAATGTAGTATCAGATAGTCTAACCAGTGATCTGTTGGTGTGATGGCCTAATGGCAAATAAAGTCTTTACATACACATTTATAATCATTTGAAAATTTCACATTAGGAAGAGTCCTTTGAGTACAACTGTAGAATAATCGTAGAGTAGAAATTGCATATGAAATGCATGGCCTCTATTTTTTTTTTTCCTATTTAAACCTTCCCCTCTTTTGTTAAATAGCATAATATTATTTACCAAAAGGTCACTTTGTTTCACTGCATAAAAGTTGAGTTTTCCTCAAAAATTTTTTAGGTGAGTACCCAGAATATGAAGATGGGTGGGCTGCCGCGTACAACACCTCCAACTCAGAAACCCCCCAGTCCCCCTATGTCAGGGAAAGGGACACTTGGGTGAGTATGTAACTAAGTAATAAGTAAAAACCATTTCATGTAGTGTTGTTGAAACCTAAACACTGCATATATTTAAATATTTTAATATTTGAAAAAAGAACATTTTCTTCCTAGATTACCTATTTTGTGTGTAATTTTGCCTTTTCCTGGGAAACATCTTTATATTTTAAAAAGATTTTGTTTTGAAATTATTTTTCTAATTAATTTCAAATTTGAGATAAAATTCTAGCCCAAGTTCATGGTTTATTATAAATTGCGCTCTTAATTCTTATTTTCGTAAAATTTTTAGTCTTTCATATTACAGTTCACTATTATTCAGGCTATTCCTCTGAAGAACACTGTGTAGATTACAGAATTCTGTGTAGCTTGTATTGTTTTGAGAATATTGAGCTTTAATTTGGTCCTATAGAGGTGGACTCCAAATTTGACTTTTGGCAGAAATGGTCAATTAATGGAAAAGCTTGACTTTTTTCTTCTGTAGCATCATAGTATAAAAATTTGGCTTATCGAGATTTGTGATCAAGTGGGCATAATATACTACAAAAACCAGATGGCCAAAATTGTGTTCCAGCTCTGCTCCTGCCCTGTGGTCTTGCATAGTCAGCCTCTTAACAATTCAGTTTTTTCATCTGTAAAAGGGGGTAATATCTGTCCTCTGTCAACTTTTCAGAGTCACTGTAGCATGAATTGGATTTCTTAAAAATGTATAAGACAAAGACAAAATACTTGGACAAACATTGGCTTTATGATTTATGCTTAAAAGTTTTTAGTTGACTATCTTGTTTTTGGCCCCCTCACCAAAAAAACAAAACAACCTAATCAAGCACTGTGGATCATGACAAGACAAAGATGAGTTGGGATATAAAGGAGGATAATGAGAAATTACAGTTAGGACAGTGGGAAACAAAAGAATAAAAGTGAATTCTAGCTGGGAATAGGATGATTGTATTTGGGTGGACAAAAAATTCTGCTTAGAGAGGAACAAATTTAGTAAATCAAATAAGATTTAAGCTTCAGGGTCAAATTTAGATGTCATGGTAGAGTATGGTAGAGTCATGGTAGAGTGCAAGAGTAAGAGTAGAGAATCAGATCAAGAGGAAGTATTTGTTTTATTTCTTTTTGTGGAATGTCTACATTTCTGTCATGTATAGTACCAAAAAGATTTTGTTAGGTTTTAAGTCAAGATTGTTAGCAAGATAACTCACTGTATTATCTAGTAAATAAAGTTTTCTGTTACTCTCCAATTTTGAAGATTTACTCATGTACGAGTTATTTGTTTTCCTTGTGTATCAGCAAGAGTTCTGCAGAATCTTCAGAATCTCTGAGCACCACAAGCTGGTTGATGGTCGTAGCCTGGCATTTTCACACAATCTTTGCCTAACCATCACATTTTGTTCTTCTGCCCTTTGTTCTTTACCTTGTTTTTATCATTGCCTTCATTGTATAGTTCTCAATCAGCAAAGTGTTTTTTTCTTGGATTGGAATAGAACATTTTTGTCGTCCGGGAAAAATTGTCTTGAAATCAGATGCTTCTAAATTAATCACTTTACGTTTTTTTTTTTTTAATATTTACATCATAATTTCAGAGATACCAAAACTTTTTAAAAATACTTTTTTACTTCCCTTGATCCAGTATCTCATCTAGTGGCCTTTATTTATTTTTAATTATTAATGTACATATGTATTTATGAAAGGAAATTTTGAGGGTAGTAGAGTGGACAGGGTCATTTCAAAGTGATCTCATTCAGAATCAATGACCCATAAATTGAGTAGCCCAGGAGAGCAGTATTTAAAGGATCCTTGGGAACTTTTGGGTGAGCAAATTATTGAGAAATTCATAAGTCAAGTGAACAATATTCCAGAAAAAGAAAGCTTTTTAATTTTCTCATCTTTTGAGATCCCAGTTTTTCTTTTAAAGACTAGAAGCTTGTCTACAAAATGTCAGTTGAGTATTTATCATTGTCATAAAGAATTTGGAAAATTAGAGATGAGAACTAATTTAATAATTAATGATCCAGTGTGCATCTTATTTCCTGTCATATTTCCTCTTACTCTTATTCTCTTCCTTTAAAAGGAGATATTTTGAGAAAAAGGGGAAATACATTAATAAAATCCAGCCTGTTTTGTACTTTACAGTTCAAACTAAAATAGAAAGACCTGAGTGGTCTTTTTTTTTTCTTTCCCTTTTAAATATTGAACTGAGGGAGGGTAAAAGGTAAGAGAAGTTGAGATAAAAGTTGAAGGAGGAAGTGAGGTGAGACTGGAAGGAGATGAGAGTAAATTGTGTATTTTTGTGTGTGGATATAGTTTAATATCTATGTATTTACTATGTAGAAAGGGAAATACAGGGTTATAGTTGCTATTGATTATCAGTGTGAGGGTTGTGTACCCTCTGAATATCTTAGGTTAGGGAGAGAGGGGTGAGGAAGATAATTAGTGCATTCATGCAGTGCAGTTGGGAGATTTTGACATGGTACTAAAATAATTTGAACTCATAAAAGAAAAGAAGAGAGTTTGGAAAACATTAGCTTACCTGGTGGGAAAATATTCTTTGTGCTCTCTGAGAATGAATAAACAAAATTACATTAGCACCGGGAAATGAGGTTGGAGACTAAAAAAATAACAATACTCATCAAAACCCTGATGGTAGAGAAGTGACACTTAAGGAAAGACTGAAATTGATAGCTGGGTTATATTAAAACACATTTTCCTATCTCTGAGTACAAATTGTATTTCACTGCTGGCAACTTTTTGAATTTATTGTGCCGAAACTTGCTAATCACACAATACATACGCTCTTCTTTTTGTAGGCGGCACTCCCCCTATCGCACACTGGAGCCAGTGCGTCCTCCAGTGGTACCAAATGATTACGTACCTAGCCCAACCCGTAATATGGCTCCCTCGCAGCAGAGCCCTGTGAGGACAGCTTCTGTGAATCAAAGAAATCGAACTTACAGGTATTTTCTCTACCTCAGCGCAAAATGTGATGGTCTTAGTACCATAATTTGTTCAGATAACTTCAGTTAAATCTCTCTCATTTTCCAAGCACTAAGTTCTTTTCCTCACTCTACTCCCCCAAACCTCATCTGATTTTACCTCTCTCATGTTCTGATGCAACTTTGAGCAGTCAGGAAGTTGAAGTAAAAAAAAACAAACAAACCAGACAGCTTAAAGTGAAAACTTCTCTACAAAATAAATAGTTATAGTTGACCTAAAAAAAGTTATGAACCAGATGTGAGAAATTTTAAGTTGTTTTTTGGTGGAACTTTACAGATGAAAAACTATATACAATAAAACATTAACATGAGCTAGTATATATCAAGATATCATTACAAATAAAATTAATCAAATATTATGTTTAGGAAAACTTTTTATTATAAAAGAAATTTCTTCAGACAGACATTAAGCTGGAGTAAAAGAAAGTAATATTTTTAAGTAATATTGTTAAGCTCCATTTATCACTTATTTTTATGGAGAATTTTTTCATTCTCAATTCCTTTAATACATGCTTATTAAAAGGTGATCAAAACAAATTTCTTGAACTCATCTTTTTTTTCTCTACTTTTTAAGAAATTCATGTTTGAAGTTGAAGGCTTATCTTTATTATAGCTATTATACTCATTTCAG